AAGGAAAGGAAAGGAAGAGGAGGAGGAAGGGGAAGAAGAAGAAAAGAAGAGAAGATAAATTATACTTATTACATCTGCTATCACTTCTCTTCTACATCACGCTGGGAATTAAAAAGAATGCATCATTTTGTTGCTTCAGAAAATCTCCTGCATTCTTGTCTTTGTGTTTTATCAGTTTATTAGGACTTTGGACAGCTGAGCAAAGTATAGAACATATCCAACCCAACCTCTGCCTTACAGGAACATACTTCTTAAAGAAGAAAGTTTTCTCAACATGGTAAAGAGGAAGATGAGCTTTCTTACTTGTTAAGTGCTCTGCAATATAGAATGTAGATGTTACATAGTTGGTCAGTGGAAGAGCAGAAGGAATATGTGCTACTGTTAGGACTTGGTTTAAGTTTTTCTGCGTTATGAAAGGCAATAGTATTACAGATCATTATCATAGTTATGCTAGATCTAACCATTGTACATTAAGATAGAAACAAGTATTTTATTTTGTCTTGTATAATCAAGACCTCAAATCATGATTTTTTAGCCATTACATATACAATATTCAAACTTGATGTGAAAAATAATATTAATGACAGATAACACTGAATGCATTTAAAAGTAGACATTTAATATAGTATAGTACACTTTTTCTTTTTTTAAGAGACAGGATCTCCCTGTGTTGCCCAGGCTGGTCTCAAAACTGGGATCCTCCTGCCTCTGCTTCCCAAAGTGCTAGGATTACAGGCATGATCCACCACGCCCAGTCATTAAAATAGTATAGTATACTGTCTACTAAACTAGATTGTGTTTAAAAGTCATTTGGCCCTCTCATGAAACAGAGTTTGGGAATTTGTTTTTAAGTGAAGACAGATATCTGTAGAAGTGAGAAGCCAGATAAAATAGCATTTGTTTTCTTTGGTGAGCTTTCTCCTTACTCTGCTTCTTCTAAGAACTTTGTTGAGCATGCCTTAAGGGTCAGGTGCTAGGCTTCGTAATCTCCTCAGCTTAACTTCTTGTCACCTGCAGGAATGGCAGAATAGTGTCATCCAACTCCGTCTTCTGATTGCTCAAGAGGAATCGTGTGTGTGTGTGTGTGTATGTGTGTGTGAGACACATTCCAGTTTGGGAATGTTGGCTTCCCATTCAAAAGTGCTTAGGACATCGTGAAAGCCACATCAGCGGGGGTGAGGGAGCCAGTGCAGGGCTCCTGGGCTTCTGGTTTGTGGCCTCTCAATGAAGGTGTGGCCCCTGGTAAGATACAAGCACTGCTGGGAAGCCTAACACATTGAACATTATTAGCTATTGATACCTCTGCATGGCTTGTTTTCTGTGCTTCTCCCCAGCACTAGCTGCTCCAAGAAAGTTTCAAACTAGGAACAACGTGAAGTGGAGAGCATAAAGACAAGAGAAGTCCAGGAAGGGTATAGCACACCTGGTAGGGAAGACCCCAAAAATCGCAGCTGCAGAGTCAAGAGGAAGATGTTAGCAATCATACTGATCACCTAATGTGTGCAGCACACCCCACTGGATGCCTGAAATGCAGAGATTAGTAGGACATGGTCTCTGATATTATAGAGCTTGAAGTTTAATAGGAGGGAGAGAGAGGCACAGAAATCATGAGTGTGCATTGCAGCATGAGAATGGATGATATAAATGTTGAAATCATTCATTTCAGTGTTTAAAATGTTTCCTGATGACATGCAGTATGCCTGGAACTTTCAAGACACCATGATAGACGAAACAGACATAATCTCTGCCTGTAAAGATGTTACAGTCTAGCAGGAGAGCTGGCAGTTTTTAAATTGTAGAAATACAATCATACATCACTTAGTAGGGATACTGAGAAATGTGTCCTTGGACATCTTCAACCACCCTAGAGTGTACGCACACAAGCCTAGATGGCATAGCCTACTACACGCCTAGGCGGTATGATGTGGCCTATTGTTCCTAGGCTGTAAACCTGTGCAGTGTGTCCCTGTACTGAATGTTATAGGCAGTTACAACACAGTGGTAAGTATCTATGTATGTAAACACAGAAAAAGGTACAGTAACAATATGGTATTGTAATCTTATGGGACCACTGTCATATATGTTTGTTGTTGGCCAAATTGTCAGTATGTGGTACATGACTATGTATTTAACGACAATGATAATAAATGCTACAAAGAACTATGGAGACTATGGTAGTGTAATAGGGACACCTCACTTACTCATGAGGAATAAGAAAAACCTCCCCTGAAAAATTACAACTAAACCAAGATTTGAAGAATAATGTGGAGGGAGGGGTATTAGCGAGACCAAGGGAGTTGTAAGGGTGTTGCCGGAGGAGGGAGAGACTGAGAAGGCTCTGAGGCAGGAAAGCTCTTAGATGTTTGCGAAACTGGGAGAATTTGAAGGATGGGGTTGTCAGGGCATAGCTAGTGACAGCAGAGCGAGCCAGAAGAGTAAGCAGACAGCAAGTTGTGCAGGACTTGTAGACCTTCTTGGGATGTCTAACTTCATCCTCAGACCATGTCGCCAGTTGAGAGCTTTAAGCAGGGTGAGAGGGACAAGCCGGCTGCAGCATGGCACATCCAGTGAGAGGGGCTGTCGTGTAAGCAGAGACTGGTTAGGGGCTTCTGCAATAAACCAGCAGAACTTAAGAGTGTTGGCTTATGAGCTATGCGAGGTGACAGTAGAACTAGAAGGAAGTGGTGGCTTTTGAGAAAGGGGCTGGACTGGCCTTGATCCTGAATTGGATTGGAAAGAGAGGGAAGTGTGGAAGACGGTGCAGGGCTCTGCTATCAACTAGCCGATGGTCCACTTACCAAGGTAGGGAGCACCAGAGGGGAAACGGGCTGGGGGAAGGGATGGAAGTTTTCGTACTAGGTGAGTAGTTTCAGATGTGAAATGGGCAGGACGATGGGTGGGCCTGGTTCTTAGAAGAGGGGGCTGGGCTAGGAGTCATGGGCATCTGGCGAATACAAAGGCCAAGGAGTCCCCAGCATGAGTGAGAACAGTGAGAAGTGGCCGGGAGCAAGCCCTCAGGAGAGCCCTCGCTAGCTCCCTTCTCCCAGCAGCAAGTAAGTGCAAAGCACAGTGTCACTGACCAGGGCTCTCGTGCTGTCTGGCGCACAATCACCAAAGTTTCCAGGCCAGTACCTTTTATTTTTATTAATACAACAGAAAGCCAGAAACATTCCCAGCTTCATTGTTTTCCCGAAGAGCACCTACCAAACCCAAATGATATTCCTAACCCCTAAACCTCATCACAATAGTTACCCTTTAATACACTACATCTACTAACAAAGCTGGATACATTGCCCTCCTCCAATACAATAAAGTCCCCCCCGAAGGGCATGTCACAATGTGCCCCCAACTACACTGGGTGATCGTTTTTGTCCATGTGCATATATTTCGTCATTAAAATGTTAAAAAACAAATATTTCGATTTCTGTCTGCCTTAACTTTTTTGCCTCCGTATAACTGGTTAATATGTCTGAATAACTAACAACCGAGTAGCTTTCTCTTATCCCTTTGAGTATAAGGAACTTGGAATATACTCCTTTCTGACTCCCACATCAGGGTAGGGTAACGACAGGGCTCAGAATTGAGTGGAAAACCAGGAGGGAAGAGCTGGGGAGACCCATGCTGACCCTGGGTGACAGAAAAACGTGGACTCTGAACTCTGGCAATCCAGGTTTGGAATATCTTAGATTTTACAACCTCCACAACTCTTCATTCTCCTCCCCTTCTCTCCTGGCAGCAACGTAATAATTAACCGAGACACTGCTGGTCTCAGAAAGATTCAGCAGGAATGAAGATCAGCAAATACATCTTGTTGTTCGGTGACTTCTTAAATCTGATGGTACATTAGTCAGAAATGCTTACAGTGTATTTTATAATAAACTTTTGTTAATGGACTAACATGACGACTCTAAATCTCTCGCACTGTTAGTCCTTAGCTGCAATGCCAAATACATCAGGTAGGTTCAACAGAATCGAGAAACACCGCGAAACCCTGCATAATTAGATGAGCACAAACTACGCTTAATAGCACAAAATACCAAACACCTGCCACCATTCTGTAACGAGGGCTTGATATTCTATAGAATTGGAGATGTGGTGGCTTGAAGCCTCCTGCTTCCAAAGCAAACACTAACTGGAATCCTTCACAAATACCCACAACTAGGTTGAGCCCTCAGTTGGGTCCACTTCTGTGACTAGAATCAAGGTGAACGGAATCACTGACTGCCTGCTCCAGTCCTTTTAAAGGTAGTACAGCACATTTTTAAACTGACATCTCAAGAACCAACAGAGTGATGTAAAAAAGTTGGACGCAAATGTGTTTTGCTTCGTTTTTATTTGGAGTCATAATAGAAAAAATGTTAATAAGCCCCTAAATTATTCTCCATTAATGTGATTTAAATCGTAAACTCATATTGATTTGTTTATATACACTCAACTGTAGAAAAATGACTTTTTTTGTTGTTGTTGTTTATACCATCAAATCCAATCAAGCCAAACAAGATGGTTAACTAAAATGATTAATGAATGCAGCATTAGCTGATGGCTTTAAATTTAGCATGTGTTACTGATGTCAGGGTTGATTAGTTCTCTATCTAAAACTGATGCTATTAAAAGCTTTGAGCAATTTAGATGTTGTCATTGAGTAAAATTTCAATGCGGTGAGAGAAATTCTATCAGGATTAATTCTGCTATGGTGCAGCATGTGCACAGATGTTGCATAGAGAGAGAGTGGGCCTTTTCTGATGGGACAGGAAGAAGGAACGGGAGGCAGAGAAGCTGACAAGGTGGCATCAATCTCAGGAAAGGTAAAGAAGCTTGGAATGAAAAAAAAATACTCATCTTTGCACAAGGACTCCCAAATGGCATACGGGTATGAATATTGATCATTTCAGCTTCAGAACTTTTCAAGAAGTGGGAAAAAATAAATGAAGGGAAGGCAAGAGGTTAATATAGTACCATGCTTTAGTAACTCCTCTGAAAATGAATCCACGGGGAAATCATTGTAGTCAGTGGTGGAGACCAACATTTTTATTAATAAGATAAAAGGAAAGAGTGGTAAAGCAAAGGCGATCATTGGATGAAATGATTATGTGTCATGAGCACTTGAGGACCTAGAAAGCAAACCGGAGTGATTATGCCAATCAAATTGCAAGGTCAGAGACATGCTAAAAGGTTAGAAGGAATCCAATCCTGGGGCTATTGCACGGAACTTGGGGAAATCAAGTTGCTGCAAGTAGCTGTGACTTGAGGAAGGTGTGCAGTAGGGGACCTTAAACCATTTCCAACATCTGTGCCTTTGAAATATTTTATTATTGATCCAGATATCCCAAGACATTTTAAATGGAAGGGAAAATGTACTGTACTAGACCCAAATTCTCTGGATATTTAGATTCCATTCCTGTCTAGGGATGTGGGGGAGGTGAATCTGTCAGTGGATCAGATCAGACTAGAAGGTTCTTGTGATTAATGCAGCTGGGCCATCTCTAAGAAAAAGGCAGCAAATAATTTGGTTCCCTCTATGTAGTTCCACCTAAGAAGAGGAAAAACAGAGAAATTTTGTTACAATTTCCATTCAAATGAAGGAGGAAAAATATTCTGTCATTTAGACAGGAAGATTTGATGTTATAAATTCCATCTAAATTATTTAACATACTTCTGAGATCCCAGTATGAAAGGCACTTAGTAAGTTCCATGTGAAAAATGCATTATTATTATTAAGAAGATGAGAATCAGTCCTAGACTCAAATCTAAAAGTCAGTTTTCCTTGATTTCTTATCACCAACATGACATGGATATCAGGGTCAAACAATTTCCTGTTTCTCACTAGTCTGGGAGGCTTAGGAGATCTTGTAGTATCTGCCAGTAGTGCATAAAGCAAACATTCTTCAATAGCCTTTTTTGCTATGCACTTCACATTTGTGTTTCCTCAAAGTTCGGTGTTGAAGCCCTAACCCCTTAGTGTGTCTGTATTTGGAGACAGGGCCTGGAGGAGATGATAAAGGTTAAATGAGGTCAAAATGGGGGTCCTAATCCAGTGGGGCTGGTGCCCCTATAAAAAGAGAACGAGACACCAGGGCCACCTAACCCCACCATGTGAGCACAGGGACAGCCAGGAAGACAGCTGGCACCCACCAGGAACCAAATGGGCTGGCACCCAATCTAGGGCATCCAGGCTTCAGAACTGTGAGGAATCAATGTCTGTTGTTTAAGCCCCCAGTCTGTACAATTTTCCATTCTCACATAAATTGAACAGGAGGTCACCCATGTGTAGACCCGTGTGTGTGCAGTAAAGGAAGAAGAGAGAGGCACATTGCACAGGCATCAGCTGACCTGTTGATTTTCTCATTCTGTGAGTGTTCTCCATCATCAACAGCTCCCAGCGGAATTAGCACCAAGCTCTTGTGGACAATCTCCTGGAACATTTTGGCAATTGGAATGGTGGATCCATCCCGGATCATATCTGGTTCTGTTCCAAACACTGAAACAGGAAAAGAAGGCATTTGAATAGGGTAAGGACAAGACCGCCCCCAGTAAGCTCCTCAAGGGCAGTGCCTCCTTTACCTTCCTCTTTCTTTTTCCTTGTTAATCTTTCTTTTTTTTTTTTTACCATTAGATTTGGTGCCTGGGGTAAGGAAACCCCTTGATATCATGCAATTATATTCTAAGATAGACGCTAGAGTCAAGAAGAAAACTATGGATGTCTTCTTCACAATTACCTACTACAAAAAAGATTTTAGAGCCAGGTGTGGTGGCTCATGCCTGTAATCCCAGCACTTTGGGAATCTGAGGTGTGCGGATCACTTGAGGTCAGGAGTTTGAGACCAGCCTGGCCAACATGGTAAAACCCTGTCTTACTAAAAATACAAAAATTAGTCGGGCATGGTGGCACATGCCTGTAATCCCAGCTACTCGGGAGGCTGAGGCAGGAGAATCGCTTGAACGTGGGAGATGGAGGTTGCAATGAGCCGAGATCTTGCAACTGCACTCAGGCCCGGGTGACAGAGTGAGACTCTGTCTCTAAATAAATAAAGAAATAAAATTGTAAATAAAAATTTTATTTTGAACTAATTTTAGAAAAGTTTAGCATTTAGAAAAGTTTAGCATTTAGAAAAGTTGCAAAAATAGTACAGAGAGAGCTCCCATCTATCTCTTACTCTGCTTTCCCTAATGTAAACATCTTATGCAACTATTGCAAAATGATCAAAACAAGGAAACTGACAGTGGTTCAATGTTGTTAACTCCACTCCAGACTTTCGATTTCACCAGTCTTTCCCTTTTTCCATTCCAGGATCTGATCCAGAATCCACACTGCTTTTTTATTATTGCTTCTTAGTTTCTTGTATGCTGTGGACGTTTCTCACTATTTCCTTGTCTTTCATGACCTTGACCATCTTGAAGCTTATCAGTTGGTAGTTTTGTAAAATATCCCTCATTCTGGGTTTGTCTGATGTTATCTTGTGATTGCAAGAGGTCATGCATGTTTGGCACAACACAAGACAATGTGCCTACCTTTATTGTTTCTTCATGAATTAAATATTATGGAAGTGGGACTTCTTTGGATTTTTTGGTGACAGATATGCCAATGGCTGTACTATCACTCAAATATCACAATGTTTCTGGCAATTTTCAAAGTATTGCACAAAATAGTTTTAACTGCTATCCTAGGTTTTAGAAAGAGATTATTTCAAACCTTCTAGCTTAGAGGACATGCTGCCAGTGATGCAGTGGGATGAAAAATGAAACAAAGAAACCAGAGAGAACATGTCACCTCTTCTTTACTCACACAGCAAGATGTGGATGTGAATCGAAGTAATGTACCTTGTTAGTAGAACCAGTTTAGCACACAAACAGACCGAAAGGTGTCTTATACATTCCTGAAAGGCTATTTCAGATTTATTTATTGTTGTCAACTGGGGTATTTCAAACGCACACCTCTCTTCAGCTGCCATTACATTTCTTCAATCCTAAAGTTTACTGGCAAAATACCTGCTAAGGTTGGGGGCAGCAGGAATGGTGATGGAAAGAAGCATGGCTCCCTGTCTTGGACTTGTTCTCTAGTTTTCCGTGTCTGTGTCCCTTGTACTGATAAGCCCAAGAGAGAGAGTTAGTGCTTCAAGGAGATCTAGGCTTCCCTTTCCGGCTTTGCCACCATTAGCCAATGTGGCCTCAGGTATCATCTGTAATAGGATGCCATAGGTCTACCAAAATGCATGCCACTGCTTTTCCACCTAGCTTTTGGAGAGACCTAGAACTCCCTGCTTTGGGAAGAGCCCCCATTCTGCTATTGTTGGCAGGGTCCCCCTCCTGGTGCAGAAGCCAAAGAGACTGGGTGTCCCTGCTCCCTGATGCACAACCAGCACCCAAGTACACGCCCTCTGCTCAGCCCAGCACATGGCTCTACCCAGGACCTTGAAATGTATGGAATTAAAACAGGCACCACCAAAGAAGTTCGAAATAGAGCTGTGCTGCCTTCTGGGGAAGCGATGTGGCATTGTGAAGAGACCACCGGCTTTAGGGTCAGACACACTGAAATTGGGTTTCTCGTGTGTTTTGCAATTGTATACAGCGAGCTCATCTCCAGGAAGCTCCTGTGGAATCTCCTTGGCCTGCCTGGGGCTGTGTCCTCCTGGGTAATGCCGTGCTTGCATCAGCAGACAGTCGAGCCATGGCACTAGCGAGAACCAGACCATGCACTAGCTAAAAATTAAACACCCAAACCCACAGGAGCAAGGGTCCATGGTTAAAAATTCTCAGGGGAGATCTTGTGTCCATCCAACGTCCACGCAAAGGCAGTCAAGCTTACACACGCAGGATAGGTGTGGCTTTCCGGGGATGCCCTGCCTGCGTATAGTGGGTCTCCTTTTCAACTTCCTGCCTCACTCTGGCCCAAGGCCATTGAAGTTCCAGTCTCTTTGTGACCAGGAAGAGCAGACCCCTGCAGGCCAGCCAGGGTCTGCTTATTCACTCCCCTAGAGTTTAGCTTCTTCATTTTCAATCCTAAAGGATTCCCTCTGATGTCGTACAAGCTAAGCTGTGTTTTTTTGTTTTTCGTTTTTGAGACAGAGTCTCACTTTGTCCCCTAGGCTGGAGTGCAGTGGCATGATCACAGTTTGCTGCAGCCTCAACCTCCTGGGCTCAAGCCATCCTTCTGCCTCAACCTCCTGAGTAGCTGGCACCACGCCCAGCTAATTTTTATATTTTTTGTAGAGATGGGGGGGTCTCACCATATTGCCCAGGCTGGTCTCGAACTCCTGAGCTCAAGTGATCCTCCTGCCTCAAAACTGCTGGGATTATAAGATTGAGCCATCACACCTGGCCTAATCTGTGTTTTGAAAGGATGTTTTTACATGTTGGCCAACATTTCTATGAGTTTTGTATCAGGGGGTTTGAAGGTTTTCTAGTGCATCATTTTCCCCAAAATTCAGGTCTCCAGACTTCAATTTGAGCACAGGTTTTGCCACTTGTGAGCTGGGCACCCTTTGGCAAAATACTCCATGTCTGTAAACCTGCATTTATTCCTCTGTTAGATGGGGAAGGCCACTGGGAGGATGACTAGAGAAGGCGTGTATAGCGTGCCCTGCACATGACATGCATTCAACAATGTCCTCTATATTAAAAGGAGAGTTGATTTCTGAGTTTTAAAAGTGTCTGCTTTATCCACGGTCCCACAGGTACCACCCCTGAGTCCCAGTGCAGATTGGTCAGTCAGAAGATCTTAAGGTCCCACCTGTTCTGATGGCTCTTTTTGCTGCGAGATACTGGGTGTCGTTAATATTTGCGATCCATGGGTGTAGTCCTAGAGTCATGGAAACAACCATCTTGTTGGAACTATTTCTTTTGGAGAACACATCTTCAAGATGCCGTGTCACCTAAAAGGTGACGTTTTCAATAATAAGAGAAAGTGTCAGGTTATTCTCTCATACAGTTAATATAGTCTTCCATCAAGAAACTGATTAATACAATTAATATAGTCTCTTCCATCAGGAAACTGAAGGCCCTAACCTGACACGTGCAAGTGTTATGATTTTTCCTTCGCTCTGCCAAGGGGCGAGAGTGAGATCCTTCTTCAGTGCTGAGAGCAGGAAACCCTGGGCTGCACCCAGAGGGAGATTCTCCTCTATCCTCCTCCCCGCAATCCTGGCCCCAGTCCACCCCCTTCCAACCACAGCATCTCACACACGGAGGTGCTGGAGCATTGCCTGTTGAAAGTGATGAAACCTAACACAGCAGGATTTCTCTTTTGAATCGTCCTCTTTTAGGACTCCTCAGTACCCTCTGAGTGATTTGGGAGCATTAAGCATTTGGAAATTTCCAAGACGTGGGAGCAACTCCGGGCTCAACTATGGAAGAGGCTCGTTTCAGCCTCATTCTCTCCCCTCCTGCTCTTTTCTCATTGTTACTGTGGAGAGCCTCCCGGGAAGGTGCCGTACTCAAACTTCTTCCATTAATTACTTCAACACACATTTATAGAACCTGTGTCATGTCCCAGAGACTGTTCTAGGTGCTGCGGATACAGCTGTGAACAAGACAAGGAAGGCCCTGCCCTCATGGAGTTTATATGTCATGAGAAAAAGGAGTAGCACCTCCAAAAAGAAGGAAGGGAAAGGAGGAAGGAGGGAAAGAGAAAAGGAAAGGGAAGGGAGGGGGAGAGGATGGAGAGGGAAGGGGATTGGGGAAAGGAGAAGGAAGGATGGAAGGAGGGCAGGAGCAAGGAACAGGAGGGAAGAAAAAGGAAAGGGGAGGAGAGGGAAGGGAAGGGAAGGGAAAAGGGAGGAAGGAGAGAGGGCAGGAGAGAGGCAGGGAAGGAAGGAAGGAGGGAGGGAGGGAAGGGAGGAGGGGAGGAGGCAGGGAGGGAGGAAGAGAGACTATTTTAGAATGTAATTAGTGCTAACAAGACAATAAAGAGGGATAATGGAATGGAGAAAGACAGTTGGGATGAGGTATTTCTTCAGTTCATTCATTCAAGAGTCTACTTTCTGTTAAACTAACTTGAGGCAAATTGATGATTGGTTGGTAATTTGGACACGTAACTCCTTCCAGAAAACATTTTCCTTAAAATGGCTGCTTCCAAAGTGTTAATTTCAGACATCATGAAGATCTAATGACTGAAGCCTGAGACCTTCTGCTTCTGTCCAAGCATAGGCAGGTCCCTACTCCACCTATGTGTAAACCAATCTTGCTTTTATATCTACCATCTAACTTTCAAATTTTCCTAGCACTCTAGCTTCAAATGGTTATTTACCTGACTGCTGTAGTTGCATATACTTGAGGAAAAAGATTGGGTTCTTTTTGTTTGTTTTTTTTTAAGAGACAGTGTCTCGCTCTGTCACCCAGGCTGGAGTGCAGTGGTGCAATCATAGCTCACTGCAGCCTTGAATTCCCGGGCTCAAGGGATCCTCTAGCCTTGGCCTCTCAAATCCCTTGGCCAGGATTGCAGGCACAAGTCACTGCACTAGGCAATATTGGTTTCTTGACGTTTGTTCCACTCCTCTTGTATTAGAAAAAAATGATACTCCAATGGTAGCAACCTCACTGCTCACTAAGCAGTGATAAGCAGGATTAAGAAACCATGTTACTACGCAGAATGACAATAAGCATTTGTTACCTGTTTTTCCACCACAGACACATTCATGTGAGGGACTAGCCGGATGGAAAATTTTCCTATAACTTGGCCAGGTATGACTGTTTTAGCTCCAGGCTCATCAAACGCGCCCTCGATCCCATGAATAGAAAGAGACGGGTACCTCCAGAGGTGCATTAGAATCTCCTCCTATATTAAAATAAAATTACCCAAAGCATGCTTAATTAGACCCCAGTGGAGCTGGGTTGCTTGTGTTACCACTGTCTGTCTCTCTGAGACACCATTCAGGACACGTTAACTGTCACCTTACTCAGCTGTGTCTGACGCAAGGACTTTTCCCTCAGGACACAAACTCTCTGCTGTCTTCAGATGCCTTCGCCTACCCAAGATACTCCCCACTGATGAGTGCCCCTCTTTGCCCAAGATTTGCAGTTTTCAGTGAACAAATGGCAAAGGGGTCCTTTCAGACGAGATCGGGCACGTTCAGGATGGAATGGCCATAGACAGACGGGCCCCTTCAGAAATGTGGGTTCAATTATAAATTTCTAACCTCAATCATTACAATAATAACTTATATAATGAAAGCATTTTCTTATTCAAAAGACATCAAAGAACTGTCCATATGTTTGAGCCAGTTTTCTTTCTCCTTCTGGCCATCCTCGAGCTGGTCTGCAGGAAGACACCTGCTTCATAATAATTCACTCTACTGCTTCTTTTCAGCTTGCTTTTCCCCGTCGTGGCCCCTTCCCCAGGAACCAGCTTTGCTACCGAACACCTTGTCAGGCAAGCATGCTGCCCAGAAAGAGAAGGAGGAGAAAAGCAAAACAATTCTAAATTTGCCAGTAAGGAATGTTTTCAACTTTGTGTTTACTTAGTCCACTGAAGCAATGATATATTCACTTACAGATTAGACCCTAAGGCTCTTGGTTTTGTCTGGAAGAATGAACAGTTACAGGTCTTGGAGCTGGAATCATCTCAGACTTTTCTTGGTCTTTGAAAAGGTAAGAAGTCCAGCTCACCGGCTGAAGGCTGGCGTGGGATTTAGGTTAATAAACAGCTTTGGAAAACATGGCTGGGAAATGGGTAACTGCTTGTAGTTAAATGCCAGAAGCCAGTGCCCATTAGACACCAGTGTAAAAGGACTGGTTGATCCAGCCCACAGGGAAGTGGCCGTGGACATCAAAAATCTGCCTAGGAATTCACATCTGCTTTGGATTCGAAGATATGCAGATTAGCACCAGACAATGATTTAGACAGCGGGCAAATATGATCTACTAGCCTCATGCCTCTTCCAGCTTATCCATCAGTCTGTGGTCATACCTTAGTATCGAACAGAAATTTCTCAACCCGGCTGCTATTCCGGTATTCTTCCAGGTCTAGATGGATGGCTTTGTATGTATTTATTTCCTCTTCTGTAAGAAGAGCCACTTCATCATAGATTCCAGGGACCAGGATATGACCCGACGAGTCTACCAGGCTACCTACAAAACACACACAGCAAACAAAGCCAGGTAGAAAGGAGTGTGCCCATGCTGTGGTCCTGGAGCCACAGACTGTGGGAGGACTCTTCAGGGCTGCAGCAGGCCTCATGACTCTCTGGGTCCCCATGGCCAAAGCCATTGGCAGCAACTCCATCCAAGAAGTGACTGTCAGAGAAAGGAGCTGGTCACCAGGTTCACGCAGCTGGAATCAGCCCTGCTTTAGTGTTCACCTTGTCAAAGGTGAGGCTGAAAACACCTGGGCCCACAACCAGTGAGTTTGGAGCGAGTTATCTCCATCACGTTCACGTTCTCAGCTATGCCTTTTATACATAAACAAGGTTTGTTTTTTAGTTTTACCTTATGCTGATTTAAAAAGTAATACGTGTTCACTATAAAACATTTAAAATACATGCTGGGTGCAGTGGCTCACATCTGTACTCCCACCACTTTGGAAGGTCAAAGCAAGTGGATTGCTTGAGCCCAGGAGTTCCCAACCAGCCTGGGCAACATGGCGAGACCCCGTCTCTACAAAAAATACAAAAACTAGTGGGGCATGGTGGCACATGCCTGTGGTCCCAGCTACTTGGGAAGCTAAGGTGGGAGGATCACTTGAGCCCAGGAAGTTGAGGGTGCAGTGAGTAATGATCACATCACTGCACTCCAGCCTGGGAGATAAAGTCAGACCCTATCTCAAAAAAGAAATTATATGGCTAGGAGCGGTGGCTCACACCTGTAATCCCAGCACTTTGGGAGCCCGAGGCGGGCAGATCACAAGGTCAGGAGATCAAAACCATTCTGGCTAACATGGTGAAACCCTGTTTCTACTAAAAATACAAAATATTAGCAGGGCATTGTGGCACGCACCTGTAGTCCCAGCTACTGGGGAGGCTAAGGCAGGAGAATCACTTGAACCCAGGAGGCGGAGGTTGCAGTAAGCCCAGATCACACCACTGCACTCCCGCCTGGGTGACAGAGTGAGACGCCATCTCAAAACACACACACACACACACACACACACATACATGTATACACACCTACATACATACATACCTGAGAAACCAAAAATTGTTGTCATCTCTTCTCAACTTCTCTTCCCCTACACGCATGCACACACACACACACACATACACACACACACAATATTATAATAAACACTCATTTTTAATTAAAAGCTTTATACCCTTCAGGTCTACTCTATGAGATACCATCATGACCACAAAATCCTCTATATACACTAGTGTGCTCTTCATGAAACAGTTTAGGGATCAATACAAGTGGAAAAAACCATCACTAAATACCCAGAAGAGCAGCAGATGTTGAAGTTCAGTAAACGCTGCCCACTCTCTGGAGAAAGTGCTTATCAAAGGCAAAATTCAGCCAGAAAGTAGACCGACACACATGACACAAAAATGTCTCCAGGGCAGCTCAGTGAGTCCCCACTGATAATGCAATCATGAGATCTTCCCTTGAGGGTATGTCCCTAAACTTCTGCTGACAGTCTTCCATGTAAGGACAGAGTTGCAGAGTCGTGCTTTCTAAGCACGCACTGTACCTCACTAGTAAAACAATCCAAGCCTCTGTTCTTGGCATCATTTTAAATTGCAACTTTATTCTCTCAGCATACAAGCAGCCTTCCCTACTGCTGGACTGGGAGAAGGAAGAGTAAGAGGATTTCCTTATTTACTTTTTCTTTCCTTCCTTCCTTCCTTCCTTCCTTCCTTCCTTCCTTCTTTCTTTCTCTTTCTTTCTTTCTTCCTTCCTTCCTTGTGTAAACACAAGCATCCTCTTAGCAGTTCCTTCCTTCTTCCTTTCTCTTCTTTCTTTTTTCTTTCTTTTTTCTTTCTTTCTTTCTTTCTTTCTTCTTCCTTCCTTCCTTCTTCTATCCTTTCCTTTCCTTTTCCTTCCTTCCTTCTTTCCTTCCTTTCCTTTTCCTTCCTTCCTTCTTTCCTTTCTTTGTTCCTTCCTTCCCTCCCTCCCTCCTTCCCTTTCCTTCCCGTCTTTTCCTTCCTTTCTTCCTTTTCTTTCTCTCTTTCTTTCTTTCCTTTTTTTGAGACAGAGCTTGCTCTGCCACCCAGGCTGGAGTGCAGTGGCATGATCATGGCCACTGTACCTGGCCTTCCTTTCCCTTTTAATTTGCTTGCAGAGAAATCTGATTAGAGAGCTATGGAGTGTGGCTCAGTCACTTCGGCCCTGCCTGAAACACCATCACAGGGAAAGGGGAGCCATTGATATCTGTGCTACTCAGAAATAATGCTGCTTCACAGATCCCATTTTCCATATCTTTGCCCTAGTTCTTTAATATTGAAAGCATTTGAATGAAAATATTATGCTTAAGAGCGTGTTCCCTCCCATCCTGTTCATTTTCCTCTTGCAATCATGACGTGATGTCATTTCTGCAGTTACCACAGCCGTCTTGGCAAGTGCAGGGAAGGCAGAAAGTGCCTTTGAAAACTGCCCACAGGAAACAGAATCCTGCATGCCCACCCAGCAGCCATCTTGGATTTGAACATTTTAAATAACATCATTTTGGTGCTTATAAAAATGCCCTTGGTGCAATGGCCTTTTCTGTTTTATGGCTTTTAGGGAAATGCAAAGAGTAGGAAAGTGTCTGCAAAGGGAAACCACAGAAGGTTAGAGTTCCATTTGTAAACACAAGTGTCCTCTTAGCAGCTTCTGCGTCCCCTGCACACTAAGCCCCTTCTCAGACAGGGAACTAACTTGGTTTTGCTTTGTACCCTAGTGGAGGTTATCACGCACTAGTGTTTATTGTCTGTTCATGATCACAGCACAGACAGAGAGGTTAGGAGGCTTGCATGAGGCAAGGGCTGCCCATGGATTCCCACATCCTGACTAGTGTGTATGGCTGATTGTCAGCCTGCAGGAGCGGACAGAGCAGAGCCGACTCTCACTTGACATCAGGGGGCCCTGGGAGTCCGGGCATCTCCACTACAGCCCAGCCTGTCAGCAAGCAAAATTCCTGCTTGTCATCTGATAAACACTAAAGCTCAACACTATGTCCTTATGTTTTTGTGCAAAACATATGAAAACCACATAGAGGACACAATCCAGAAATTACTGTGCTGTGGATTGATTTTTTGATTTGTACCAAAAACTAAAGAAAGTCAAATCACGTTTTTAATTTCATTCATGACCCTGAGCTGACTCTTCCTTAGCAGAGCAATGTGCATTTTTGGGGCTGAATGGAATCCTATGCCTGGCTGAAGCCACACAGCCTGACGAACGCCATGCAGCAGTCATGCTTGTGGGAAAAGCAAAATGTGCTGCTAAAGATTTCAGATGCAGTTCCTAGGGAAGAAAACATTCATTCTGGTAAAACAGAAATTAACCTCCACTCCCCAAAATCGTAAGTTGCGTACTATCTGATTCTTCTGGAAACCATTTAAACTCTTTAAAGGAAAATGGCTGGGTGTATTCTGTCTGAATTGTCAAGCATGGGAAATATCATCCAAGAGCTATATTTCAGGAAAACTAGAAGGCCATAGAAGAATAGATAGATAGATGATAGATAGATAGATAGATGATTGATAGATAGATAGATAGATAGTTGGATGGATGGATGAATGGATGGATGGATGGATAGATGATAGATAATGGATGAATGGATAGATGGATGGATGGATAGATAGATAGATAATAGATGGATGGATGGATAGATGGATGGATGGACAGAAAGATGATAGATGGATAAATGGATGAATGGATGGATGGATGGATAGAAAAATGATAGATGGATAGATAATAAATGGATGGATGGATAGATAGATAGTTGGGTGGATGGACAGATAGATGATAGGTAGATGGATAGATAAATAATGGATGGACAGATGGATAGAAAGATGATAGATGGATAGATAATGGATGAATGGATGGATGGATGGATAGTTGGATGGATGGATAGAAAGATGATAGATTGATAGATAATAGACGGATGGATGGATAGCTAGATAGATGGTAGAAATATAGGTAAATTTCATTATTCACTTTGGGAGAATGAAAGAGAAAGCTGTGCAACTAAAAATGATGCTGAAGACCTTAAGAAGATTCTCCCAACACCTGGGCCATCTGGGCTGATTGTACCATGGCCTGGACTACTGAGGCCAAGGGAGTAAATGCTTTCTGGCAATTTGTCTGCTCAAAAGGGACACATTATTAAACTTTTTTTTTTTTTTTTGCTTTTTCTATTTCTTTCTTTTTTTGATAAAGGGTCTCGTTCTGTCACCCAGGCTGCAGTACAGTGGCATGATTATCTCAGCTCACTGCAGCCTCCACCTCCTGGGCTCAAGCAATCTTCCTGCCTCAGTCCCTTAAGTAGCTGGGACTACAGGCCTACACCATCATGCCTGGCTAATTTTTGTATTTTTTGTACAGACAGGGTTTCACCATGTTGCCCAGGCTGGTCTTGAAGTCCTGAGTTCAAGCAATCCACCCACCTTGGCCTCCCAAAGTGCTGGGATTGCAGGCATGAGCCACCATGCCTGGTCATGTTGTGAAATTTGCATAAAGGAGCTATACATGTCAAGTGGAGCACAGCGAGGTTTTGCAGAGTCTAAAGCATAGGTAATGTGTGAACCTCTTTTTTAAAAGGACACCGAATTATGAATATAAAATGATGAGTGTCCCTGCCAGGACTGTGGAAGGAGCTCCGTAAGTGAGGCCCCTGGAGTTTAAACTTCCTTAGCTTCCCTGGGAACCCACCATGGGCAGCCCTGATGCCTAGAAGAGCTGTAGGTGAATTGAGCCTGGGCAAACAGGCTCCCCGAGAAAAACACACAACTCCCTACTGCACACACCAGCAATCCATGGGAAATTAAGGACAGCACCAGGACAATCGGGGAACTCGTCAGCGTTGCTGTGCCACTCAGGGCCACAGCAACCTTGGAAAATGAAGCCAAGTGGTGCTGACGTATTTGACACCATTTCTGGAGTCAGGCCAGGGCAGGCCATTACTCACTGAAGGACACGCTGCATTCCAGCCACCATGACAAGTGCTCTGCACACATCACCTTTTTGCATCCCAAAAGCAATACTAGGTAAATAGAAGATTGTGCCCCTTTACAAATGAGAAACCGAAGACTAGAGAATTCAAGTAACTCGCCAAGGTCACGCAGGTGGTCTGTGGCAGAACGAGGACACACCTGGTCATCCACACGCAGAACCCACATGCTACAAGGTGTGGGCTGGTCTGCGGAAGGGCCAGTCTGTCATGAAAAACGAGATGCTCTTGAGAAAGTGGGGGAAGGGCCTCATCTGGTGTGTCGCTTAGTTCCTTTTCCTTTTGATCATCCCTTTGTTGATTTATCTTCAGTCAAAAAGTCATGCCAGGTCTATCGAAGTTGAACTTGTGGTTCAACTGGCTTGGGAATACCACACCCCACCCGGCCCGGCATTCTAGGAGCAGCAGTAAGGGAGTCAGGGTGGCCTCTCAGTCTTTTGTATCCTTTGAGTCTCTGCCCTCTTGTCCTTGAGTATAGCTGGATGTGTCACAATGTCCAATAAAAGAAAACGGAGGAACTGAAGAAGAGTTTTGCAGACTTACTTAAAAGAGGAGGGAACAGTTAGCCAAGGGGAGGAAAATCTGAGCATCTACACCCTTGTTCAGAGCTGGTTCAGAAAGCAAGCAGAGGCACATAGAATCAAGTAGAACTGTCTTTTAGTTGATCCCTGATGCTTAAAAAGTGAAACAAAATAAGGCATTACCGAGAAGAGCAACCAGATCAGCCATTGGTTCATGAAGGATGCCACCAAAGGTTCCCGAGTGAAAATCCTGGTCTCTGCATTTCACCTGTAGAGTAGATAAAAGGCAAGAGATATACTTCCTGCCTTGGTTGCTTTAGTGGAAGCATTTCATGTGGTGAAATACATATCTGCATGTATCCCTCAGAACTCAGGTAGTCGACCTCCAGACCTGACTTCACTTTCCATGTTTCTCAGTCATGGGGACTGGAGTTCCTACCCGCTGTCCATTGCTTCATTCCCACCATCTCCAGAATACCCTGAAGCTGACTCATTCCCCAGCTTTTCAACCAACTTTATTCTAGCCAAGATCATGAGGCTCTCCTTGGCCAAATGATTGACGTTTACACAGCTGTCTTCCTTTTGGTTTCATACAATATTGTTGATCACTCCTCTTTCTGGAAAAATTCTCTTCCCTTGGTTTCTGAGAAGCTTTCTTCTCTTTCTTCTTTTCTTGCCTGCAGGACAATTCTATTGATATCTCCTGTAATAACATCTTTTCTTCCTCCCACCTCTAAAGCTTAATACTTGGCTCATCCTTCTTCTACATGAGCTTCAAGAGCTCACAGGATAGCATTTATGTATACAGCACCCTTGACATAAGAGTGACTCTGTCTTAGAAAAAGACTCCATCTTACATTTCCTAAGGCACTTTGCCAACAGGGACTAGGTGTTCTGCCTGATCAATAAAGACTGCATCCAGCTGGATAAGGATATAACCAAACACGTTCTTCCACTATTGGTTCTCATCAGAGGACTTGGCAGTCATAAAACAACCAGGACGTCAGCAGTTCAAAACTTAACAGACACGGTCCTGCTGTCACTTGTGCTAAGAACCCAGCATCTGCCACCAAAGGCTCTGCCCAAATCAAAGGCTCTTCCTTACAAGACCACTGGACCACCCGAGCCAGGTCAGGATTTGTTTTTGTCTATGTCACACTCCCCGGACTGGTCCATTAACCTGTTTTCCTATCCCTTTTCTTTTCTTTTCTTTTTTTAAATTATTCATTATTATTATTATTTTATTATTATTATTATTTTTGAGACAGAATCTTGTTCTGTGACCCAGGCAGGAGTGCAGTGACATGATCTCAGCCCACTGCAACCTCCGCCTCCCAGCTTCAAGTGATTCTTTTGCCTTAGCCTCCCAAGTAGGTGGGACTACAGGTGCACGCCACCATGCCCAGTTAATTTTTTTGTAATTTTTTAGTAGAGACAGGGTTTCACCATGTTGGGCAGGCTGGTCTTGAACTGCTGACCTCAGATGATCCACCTTCCTCAGCCTCGCAAAGTGCTAGGATTACAGGCGTGAGCCACTGTGCCCAGCTCCTTCTCTCTTGATGGTAAATGTTACTTTGTTTGTTATGGAATATTCAGTCTACAACATTCACATATTGGCTAGGTATATAACGATGTATGCTTTACAATATCGACTGCCTTGTGGAGTAGCTTGGGCCTGTGTGCCTGCAGCTCTGACTCCTGAGTGAATGGGAGGCACTAAGGAGAATTGCCTCCTTGGAAACTGCATGGAGCCTGTGGCTTTTATTATTGAGATAGCATCAGTAAAAGCCTGACATTGTGGAAAGACACAAACATGTGTGGACCTGGTTATCTCTGACCATGCGGTGCTCACGATAATTTAAGGGCAGGGATACTATTAACACCTCCATGCCCTTAAATGTTCATCCCTGGAGGTCTGACCTTCTATGTAAACACCAGACCTAAAACTCTGGGGTGCTTACAGTGCATTCCACTCGAGCATGCTTCCAGTTTCTGAAACTCAGGAGATCTAGACCCGAACTCAACCACTTCTGCTATTACTTCCTACCAGCATGATTTCTCCTATGTACGCCATATCCAATCAATTACCAGTTTCTACAGGCTGGGCTTTTTTGAAGTTGATTCTTCAGTTCATTCCCTCCCATCCTTCCAGCCCAGCTGGTCTTTACGGTGTTCCACTTCCTCTTCAATGTAGTACCAGAGCGATCTTCGGTGTATTCACTTTAGCAATAAGACTTTCAGTTCACTAGGCAATAACGCTAGCTAAATTACTCTGGAGTATGGACGGTCTTACTTCGAAACCTTGAGCTGGCTGTCTCACATCCTGATGACAGCTCTCCTCCTCCTCTCTTGTAACTTTGCTGTACCACCTGTTCTCGGTCTTCATCAAGACGTCAGTCCCTTGACCCTTCCAAGATGTTCCACATTGCCCTCCTGCCTCTGTTTTTTCCCCTGTTCAACCTGAATACCACCATTGATCACCTCAGCCCCTCTGCTCAACACCTTGACGAGCTCTTCCTTACTTTCTCCACCACAACCCTCTGGAGTAACCTCAACCCCAGGGCCAGTCTGCCCCTGCGAGGCCTTCTCTGTCCCTGGCCACTGAGCATGCTGCAGAAGCCATCAATTTGCACGGATAGATGACTCCAGACCTTAACATTGCCTGGCCCTTCTTCATCCTCCCATCCCTTCTCTTCCCCCTGTCCCAAAGTGACCACTTCAAGCCATCACTTCACTGCAGATACACTCACTTCCTGCTAAACAGAAAAAAAATTGAGGCTAAGAGGGAAGAAACGCTAGGACTTGGAGCTCTCTACCTACTCAAGGCCCTCACAAAAGAGGTTACTTTCCTCCCATGGGTCTGGAGCTCGCCCCCTCCCACCTCCTCAGAGCCTTTGTTCTCAAAAATCCTCCCCCTCCCTCCCAGGTCTCCAACTGCTGCCTCTGTTGATTGCTTCCCAAGGACTTCCTCCAGCCATCATCCCAGCTCTGTCCTACTTTCCACAGCCATGTTTCCTGAAAGCGGGTTCTAGAGAACAGTCCCTGCTTCCCGTTTTCTCGGTCACTCCCACATCTCTTTAGTATCTGTATCTCACTAGAAGTAAACTTCCTGAGGGCAGAGACTATTTTATTCAGTTCTGTACCCCTGGGACTTAGCATCCTCCTATCTGACAAATAGAAGGCACTCACTGTTTTTCAAATGCATAGCCATGTGTTTCCGTGTATGTGCTCACATCTGAATCTCAAAACTGCCTAGGGATTGGATAGAGCATGGATTATCAGCCTACACATTGCTATATGAGAAAACAGACTGAAATGATGAAATAATTAGCTATTTACCCGGGAGGGACTTTCTAAGTCTCATGCATTATCACAGGTTGCCTGTATTACTAGAAAAAGAGAAAAGGGGAAGGAAACTGACTATGCATCAAACCTGAACTAAAGGCTGCACGTAATGACACAGCCATCCTGGGAGGGGGCGTTATTGTGCCATCTTTCAAGGTGGGAAACCAAGGCTCAAGATGAAGCCACCTGCACAAGGCTGGGCATGGTAGAAGCTAGGTTTCAGATACTGGCCTCGGGCGACACCAATGCTCCTTCTCCTTCCCTGGAACCACAGCACTTAGATTTCCTGCCACTGCGGCCAGCAGGCCCACGCCGGGAGCAGGACACAGCACAGTTGCCCCTGCATTGATCAGGCAGTCTGCTTACCTCCCTGTGGCTGCCATACCTGCCTGCAAATCCCATGGCCAGAGTTTCCAAGCTTTGTTTTGTGAGTCACAAACCCCTGTGAATCCCCTCTCCAGAACAAGGTACATAGCCACATCCATTCCAAGTGTCAGGGGGTTCATGACCTCCCCAAACCCCAAGACCTCTGCACCCACCCCACCTTCCCTAAGGCTGTGTGTCCCAAGTAAGGCCTCTGCCCTCAGGAAAGCTTTCTTTCTTCCTCTCCAAGATCCCAGAATGGATTGGCGCTCCCATTCACAACCCCCACAGGCCTCCATCCATGCACTGCTCTCTGTGGATACCTCCACCGTGAAGTAGCTGTTCCCCCGGGTTCCGTAAGTGATTGCTGGCTTCCTTTGGCTGATCCACAGGTTATCTGAAATTACGATGTAGTCCACACCAGAGAAGAATCGGTTCTTTTCTTTTTCCACAAGTTCCTCCAGGGCAACAGAGCCAGCCTCTTCCATCCCCTCAATGATGAATTTGATATTCACAGGAAGATCCTAAGTAACAACAGAAGAAAAAATTGCACAAGTTGCCTGATGTGGTTTGGCTGTGTCTCCACCAAGTCTCAACTTGAATTGTATCTCCCAGAATTCCCACATGTTGTGGAGGGACTCAGGGGGACGTAATTGAATCATGGGGGCCAGTCTTTCCTGTGCTATTCTCATGATAGTGAGTAAGTCTCACGAGATCTGATGGGTTTATCAGGCATTTCAGCTTTTGCTTCTTCCTCATTTTCTCTTGCTGCCGCCATGTAAGAAATGACATTCACCTCTCGCCATGATTCTGAGGCCTCCCCAGCCATGTGGAACTGTAAGTCCAATTAAACCTTCCCACTCTCAGGTATGTCTTTATCAGCAGCGTGAAAACAGACTACTACATTGCCCATTCACCTTTGAAGATCCACTATTTGTTTGCATATAACATAAACACATGAAATTATTATTTACATTCAATGTATGAATGTGCATTCCCCACAGTTCTGTTACAGCAATGGAGTCGTAATTATGGTTGTGAAGGAGAATTCAAGGTAACGCCTGGTGCGTGCCCTCCAACATGTCCTGCCAATTTAATGCTATGATGAAGAATTGGGGAAAGGAGCATCTACAGGAAAGCACATTCTATACTACAGAGCTTCCCCGTGTGGCCGCAGAGGGAGGCATTTTTCTCTTTCTCCCCAAAAGGAATTGTTCAAGAAAGGTTAGGCAATTACAAATCGCTTTTCTGTCCTCATAATGCTGAACATGAAAAAGGAGAAATTTCTCCTTTGAAAGATTGTTAAGCCTCAGGTTAATTTTTACTTCAAGTATCTGTTATTTTTCAGCTGTGATTTCAATCTGCCTTTTAACTTATTCAAAGGCTTTGATCTTGCAGCAAAATGGAACTTGAGGGTTTTTTTTTAGTTAATATTAGGGCAAGGAATAGCTCCTTTAAAATTTTTACAACATGCTTCTTCCCCCATTTGCTTTTGATCTTTTTGTATCTTTATAATTTATAACTTCATATCTTTGAGAACCACATTAAGAGGAGAGGTCAAAGTCTTTTCCTAGAGCACAGGATGCGTGCAGAACTCTAAAAGTGATTACAGGCAGATAAACAGCATGCACACACTATAATCAGTTCTAATGAGTGGGCTTGACTCACCACAGATTAACAAATGCAACATGAGCACAGGATTATGGATGAGAAAATAATAAGTTATGTAGTAATTAAAATGAGAAAATTAGAAAATCAGTCATTCAGTTGGAGAAGAGCTTTTGGGGGACAGTGATTTGTTCATATGTATCCCTCGTGTTTCTGTGTGTTTTAGGAAGTCCATCTGAAGTTCTGAAATCTTAATATCTGAAGGTTCTGTGTGAACACTGAACTAGCAAACAATTGCTGAAGAGTAGTTGGAAATCCTAAGAATTTTCTGGCAAGTCACTTTTAATAAAATACAAACCCATAGCACTCAGCACGCAGGCCACATGCGTTAGCAGCTGGGTTTGCTAAGCCTCCCCTTGGCAGCTCACTGCTCTACCTGTGAAATATGGATATTAGTACTAACTCTGCCTCCTAGAAAATAACCCAGGGAGGGAATGTGTCCTAAGAGCTCTGTAGGCAAGGCGGGCAGAGGAGAAGAAGGGAGGGAGGGAGGAAGAAGGGGACACTCTCGAAGGACCTCACACACCACCCCCAGTGCAGATATGTCTTCACTGAATCCCTGTAAGCCTGTGAGGTAGAAACTGCCATTCCCACTTTGATCACAGACAAGGAAAGTGAGGCTCAGAGATGAACTGACGTGTCCAGGGCAGTGAATATTTCTTCTGTTTTCTTTGTGATTGTGTAATTTTCAGAGTTGAAATTTATAAAGGAAAACAGATTTTGGCCTTTTTATCGGAACAATCTTATAAATATTGCTATCCCTTAGAAGGAGAGAGAGAGAGGAAGAAAGAGAAAGAAAGGAGAGAAGGAAAAACAGGGAGGGAGACAGAGAAAGAAACCAAAGCCACATGGAATGCTCAGGGCATGGGTGGTGTGAGCTTCCTGGATAAGAAGACAGCTTTGCAGTGGTCTGCAGGACACCGCCGAGACCTGTGCTGATTTCCTGAGCGTGTCTTCTGTGAGATTCAGGAGTGGAGTCAGAGTACTTAAGTCCCCTCCATCTGCTTATGTCTCAGGAGAAAATAAACTTCTGAGGGAAGCCCCCGGCACCTAATGAAATAATCTTCAGGAAAAGACACACCAGAAGCCCGGGTCTTCTCTGCAGGACAGGGTGCCAGGGAGGCCCCTCAGCCCTCAGGGCCTTGCAGCCTTGGACAGGGCTGAGGCGGTGCCCAGGACAGGGCAGATGGAACCATAGCCCAAGGTTGACCTGATTCTGTTCCACAGAACAGAATCCGAGGCCCAGAGAGGTCAAGTCACTTGCCCAAGTTCACACAGCTAGATCCAGTCCTCTGCTGGTGTCTAAGTACATTAGCCAGGAGCGGGAGAAGAGTGCCTTGAGATAAGACCATCCTTGTGTTGAAACATGAGATAGTTAAAGGTACAAACCTGGGTCCACCAACAATGTCCTCTGGAGGCTGGAAAGAGGGGACCCACCTCCTCAAATCTGTACCCCTGCCTCTGCTCCAGAGCCCTTATTTGGACATCTAAAGAGAACCACTGTGCTCTCAGGGAAAAGATCCAAGGATTCCTGCGGAATGTCATGGAGATTCCTATCTTGATCATTTGCGAAGCAGCCGATACATTTAAAAAATGTGTGTTTGTCTCTGCTAACAAATCATACTTTGTGATAAGAAGAAAAAGAAGATTAAAAAAGACAAGATAAGATAAAATAAGGATTAAACAAAAAAAGACAAGTCCCATCAGATAGCAGCTTGGCCACAGGCTTGTTGTGTCTTTGGCTGTGTCTTGTTTTTTAACGTGGTTAAAAGTGCAGGCTGGACTCCATCCTCAAAGTATCAGCCTTGCCACCAGCTGCACTGCTCTGGGTAAGTTCTCTGACCTTCCCAAGCCTTACTGTCCTTATCTGTAAAATGGATACAATTGTCCACATACCTCCAAAGACTGTTGGAGTGAATAAGTGACCTAAGGCAGTTTGCTCAGAACACATCAAAGAACTCAAAGTAAGTTGTAGTTACCATCCTCCTCCTCCTCCCTCCCGAACACAGCTGTCACCTACTTGTTCCAGGGCTCTGAAGGCGCTCACAGCATTGATCCAAGCCAAGACAGGGCCTTTGTTGTCGGTTGCGCCTCGTCCATAAAGTTTCCCTTTACAAAGGGAAGAAGAATGTTCAGGAAGTGTGGACACCTCTGCCACGTGAGTTAAAAACCAATGTCGTTTCATGGGTACTAATGTTAACAGTGCTTTCTATAATAATATTCCAGGCACAAATCTTGCTATGAAATTGCAAAGTATGATTTCTTATGTACAAATAAGACCGTACACAAGAGATCCTTGGATCTCTTCCCTGACAAATAGTACAGTCGTCAGCTAGTCAGATAAGACAAGTAAATTTGCAATAGACAGATCCCACTGTCCTTCACAATAATTAGCTATTTTGTCCAAGTTCACTGAAGAGACCCACCGGAGATTTGTTGCAGAGTGCCATGTGGCATAGCTTCTCATTTTGGGATTTTACAATTAGTAGAAGAATGAAAAAAATATGTGTGTATATCTCTATTAACCTTTCTTCTTTTTCTTTATAAAATGCGAATTACATTTGATACTGTTCAAAAGGAAAGTGGCCTCGACAACTGTTTTCCTCACAACTCAAGAACCTCCGTCCAGGGGCACAAAAGTGTGTTGTTTTTTTCACAAATGAAAGAAAACCAGCCTCAGTGAACCAATCAGTAGGCTATGAGAGCCGCCTCTCTATGCATTCTTTTTTTTTTTTTAGATGGAGTCTCACTCTGTCATCCAGGCAGAATGGAGTGCAATGGTGCCATCTCAGCTCACTGCAACCTCTGCCTCCCAGGTTCAAGTGATTCTCCTGCCTCAGCCTCCTAAGTAACTGGGATTACAAGCATGTGCCAGCATGCCAGGCTTTTTTTTTTTTTTTTTTCCCCAGACAGAGTCTCGCTCTGTCACCCAGGCTAGAGTGCAATGGTGTGATCTCAACCCCCACCTCCCAGGTTCAAGCAATTCTGCCTTGGTCTCCCAAGTAGCTGTGATTACAGGCGCCCACCACCATGCCCAGCTATTTTTTCGTATTTTTAGTAGAAACGGGGTTTTGCATGTTGGCCAGGCTGGTCTTGAACTCTTGACCTCAAGTGATCCAACCACCTTGGCTTCCCAAAGTGCTGGGATTACAGGCATGAGCCACCGCACCGGGCCTGTGCATTCTTAATGACAGGGAGAGACCCGAAATCCAGGGACAGAGCCACATCTTCACCCCTTCAATCTTGCAAGCATAGCAGCTCCGCACTGTAACCCGGGTACCTCACTGACCGTCCACCTCCGTCAGCACGTAGGGGTCCGTGAGCCACCCATCGCCCTGGTCGGCAGGCTGCACGTCCAAGTGGCCGTAGAAGCACACGGTGCCTTTTGTGGGATCGTTCCCCAGTTCAGCCAGGATGACGGGAGGTATTGGAAGACTCTGACCATCGGGCAGCTGCAAAATGATCAGGAATCACATTTTTAAAAACGCTGTGTTGTTCTTCCAGAAAATTCAAAGACATGATATTGGGAGTCCTGGCCAGGCTATCCCTGGGTCCATGTCATTTTTCTGAGCATCAGTTTCTCCATCTCTAAAATGAGTCCCATGAAACACTTTTTTTTCTTTTGGAGACAGGTCTCAGTCCCGGCGCCCAGGCTGGAGTGCAGTGGCGCACTCGCAGGCTTATGTGATCCTCCTACCTCGGCCTCCTCATAGTAGCTGAGACTCCAGACGTGCGCCACCACGTCTGGCTACCTTTTTGTATTTTTGGTAGAGACAGGTTTTGCCATGTTGCCCAGGGTGGTCTCAAACCCTCAGGCTCAAGTAATCCGCCCGCCGTAGCCTCCCAAAGTGCTAGGATTTCAAGTGTGAGACACTGCACCCAGCCAAGACGCTTTTAATTAAGATATAAAACCTAATTAAAAGTAAAGCGCTTCTTTAGATCCACATTGACAATTAGCAGCATTAGCTGAATGTGCTGTTGAGTAAGAGTGCAGATGGGCCGGGAACGGTGGCTCATGCCTGTAATCCCAGCACTTTGGGAGGCCAAGGCGGGCAAATCACGAGGTCAGGAGTTGAAGACCAGCCTGGCCAACATGGTGAAACCCTGTCTCTAATAAAAATACAAAAATTAGCTGGGCGTAGTGGTGCACGCCTGAAATCCCAGCTACTCAGGAGGCTGAGGCAAGAGAATTGCTTGAACCGGGACTTTGGAGGTGGAACTTGCGGTGAGCTGAGATCGCACCACTGCACTCCAGCCTGGGCTACAGAGTGAGACTCTGTCTCAAAACAAACGAACAGAAAAAGAATGCAGATGACAACTGGCTTAAATTAGGTGGACAAATCCTAGAAAATGTGGATGATCCCAAGGTTCCTCAGTGCTAAAATAAGCACAGCAGGTGCTTAGATTTAAGACATTCATGACGGAGTAGAGTTCTAAGAGACGGTTCTGATGAAAAAAACACAGCTCCAGATACAATGCCTTTGAGAAAGATGCATATGAATTTAAAGAAAAGGACAATTTCCTTTTCCGTAAAGAAGAAATTGGAACCTTGTGTCCAGGAAGTGAAGAGTACAAGGGGGTCCTTTCCATAATAAAGGGACCTTCACTTGTCATCTGCACTGGCTTCTAAGAGCCCGTCCCAGCCCTGGAGTCCTGATAGGACTGGAAAGCAGTAACACGGCTTCGTTCGAGACCAAGGGAATGCTTCATCTTCATTAGGAATTGGGGGGTTTTGGTTGAGGATCAGGGTGAGCCTCTCCCTTGCCACCCCGGGGAAGGCACAATTGACGTCTAGAAGTAGCTGCTCCCTCGGTGGGCGGGAACACCACAGCACCTGCTGAGAACCCATGTCCACCGAGGTCACACGGGCCCCCAGGCGCTGCAGTGTGTCCGCGGCCACAGCCATCATTCTGAAGAGCTCTTGTCTGAAGCGAGGCACGGGCTGGACAGAGTCGCTCTCGATGGCCACCCACTCCTTCAGCGTCTAGGAGGAAGAGTAAGCAGGCCATTAGCATGGGGGTCCCACATCTGCTCTGGGGGCAGCGAGGGGAGGACAGGAGATGGCGAGTCCCCAGGTGCTATTCTGTTGATTGAGGACCTGAGGACCTATGACAGTGCCAGTGAACACTGTGACATTCAAGAGTAACAGACAGAATAGCTGGGGTTTTAATCAGGAACCCGGAGGCCAGAGACGCCTGGTTAGTCTAGAAGGTCAGGCAGGGCGGGCTGGGAGAAAGATGATGGTCTGGGTCCTCGCTGGGTTCCCCAGGGCTGTCAAGAAGGGCAAGTCCCCACCCACTGTTTCTAATTAAGAACTGAAGAGCTGGTGGGTTCTCAGCTTTCTCCAGGACTCCTTGCTTCCCACACCTGGCCCTGGACGCCTCCGGGCCATGACTGAACCCCACAGTGGCCTCCGCTGGGCTGCAGGTCCCTTCTGACATGCTCTGCACTTAGATTCCCCGGCCCGCCCCTCCCTGCGCTCCTAGGATCCCACAGGCACTGTGACGTCGGGCTTAAACTCAGCCTGTCATAGCTGTGTGAGTTTGGGTGTATTCCTTAACCTCCCTTAGCCTGAGTGTTCTCATCTGCACAAGAAAGTAACGCTCCCTAATGATAGGGTGATGGCGAGGACCACTGAGGTAACGTGTGCACAAGCCTCAGCCTGGTGCCGGGCACCTGGCGGCCACTCCAGCAGTGCTGGCTGATATGAATGACTGATAAGAACCATTCACACACCGGTGTTGGAACCTGAGTGGCTCATACTGAGACAGTCAGCATTTTTATGAAAAACTACACAGATTTACTGATCTTAGACTTCTCTTCCTGACTCATTTGAGTTTGATCTCTCTATCCTGGTTGTAGTGCTTTCATTTTTATTATGAAGGCGTTTATCTAATCCTAATGAATATTATGTTTTACATTTTTAAACTGGAATTTACAGAACAGAGACTGCTGGCTTCTCCCTAAGTTCAGTAGATTTGGGTATGTTTGAGGGACTTAGGGGGCTTGGGGTACAAAGTTCAGGGAGACCTCAAGGAGCTCCCAGTCTGGTGAGCACAGACACCACCACATCAGTGTGCACATGTGTGGGGCTGTGTGGGGATGGAACCAGTCGGCCACAGAGGGGACAAGAGAGCTTAGGAGAGCGGGGCTGGGGAGCAGCTGGTGAATCTGTGGGCTCCAGCAAGCTCCTGCCTTCCCACTCCTCCTCCTGTCTCCTCCTGCTCCCCAGGCCTCCCTCTTTTTGCCGTTCCACCTCACCCTCCCTCTACTTTACCCGACTCCCACCCCGTACATGTACAGACCCTGTATGGTGAATTAGGGGTGAAGCAGAGGATTATAAACTTGGGAGGCTGAGGCAGAAGGATCACTTGAACCCAGGAGGTCGAAGCTGCAGTGAGCTGTGTTTGTGCCACTGCACTCCAGCCTGGGTGACAGAGCAAGACTCTGTCTCAAAAAATAATAACAAAACAAAAAAAAAAGGGTCAGGCGCGGTGGCTCGTGCCTGCAATCCCAGCACTTCAGGAGGCCGAGGAGGGCAGATCACTTGAGGTTAGGAGTTCAAAATCAGCCTGCCCAAAATGGGGAAATCCTATCTCTACTGAAAAAACACAAAAATTAGCTGGGCATGTTGGCAGGTGCCCGTAATCCCAGCTACTTGGGAGGTTGAGGCTGAGGCAGGAAAATCACCTGAACCTGGGAGGTTGTGGCGAGCTGGGGTTTCACCACTGCACTCCAGCCTGGGCAACAGAGCGAGACTCTGTCTCAAAACAAATAAATAAATGAATGAACGAATGGAGGAGATAAAATGCCTAATGCACACATACTACAAAATAAAAAACGTTGCTGTTGAACTTTGCAGAGCTCCCTGGCTCCCCAGCTCTGCCTAGGCCTTACAATAACGTCAGGTGGCATTAGGAATGGGCGACCTGATGGACCAGGGCAGACTCGAGCTCAGTGGAGGTGCTGGTCGTCTCTGCATGGACATCCCTGGATCAAGTGTGCTGGATATGAAGAGACAGTGCCCTTTGCAGGAGGAATGGCTAGGAGGGATCTCTTCCATCCATCTAATGAATACTGAAGATTTTTAACCCAATGAGCAGTCACAGGCATTTTAAATGGAATTAGGCAAAAATATCCACATCTCCAAGCAAATAATTGTCTCACCCAAATACCAAAGGAGGTAATCTACGCATTCTGGGTGCAGTTTCCTTCTCCTACCTGCACAAATTCATCCTGATGGAGGTCAATGTACTGGAAGACTTTCTCTAACAGCGCCGGGGGCAGGGAGTGTGAAGAGAACATGCCTCCCTCCAGCAGCAGCAGCACGGCCAGCAGGGACGCAGCCTGGAAGGGTTTGACACAGGAGGAACGAATGAAAATCAGCACCAGTCGCTGGACTTTGGACCTTCCAAATTCCTCAAGAAGGGTTGTTATCTCACACAGCTGCCTCCAGTCAGTCGGAATAAAATAACACAAGGCGGTAGAACCAAACATGTTATTTTTTGCTACGTCTTTCCCCAAACACTTTATTTCCAATGCTAAAGAATTTTAATAAGACAAAAATCGAGTTAACAAGCTCATCTTTAAATAACATCATTCCGTTTATTCCTAGGATAAGGTGTTTCCTCCTGGCCCCTTGGGGAGGCCAGTTCTGCTGCCCAGGAGTGAAGGACGATCTTTACAAGACAGAAAAGAGCAAGGTAGAACCGAAAACAAACACGGAAAAATCTTCCATGTGTGATGGACTACTGCACTAGACAAAGGAATTTCTGAGCAATGCCTAAAATCCAGTGTTGTGGGATTTCTTTCCACTGGCTCCTGAAATCACAGTACTTTAACAAGAAAGGAAGAGAAAGGTCTGAGGTGGTGGTTCGTGCCTGTGATCCCAGTACTTTGGGAGGTCGAGGTGGGCGGATCACTTGAGGTCAGGAATTGAAGACTAGCCTGGTCAACATGGTGAAACCCCGTCTCTGAGAGACCCATCCACAACCCTGCCTCCTCCCTCCTTTCCCCTCCCTGACCCCTGCTCAGTCTCCCCAGCCCATCCACAGCTGGAATGACTCCACCTGGGAGTCCTCGAGAGCCTGAGAGCCAGCATTCCTCCTTGACGCCCGACAGGAAGGTCCTGTGGCAAAGTGGGCAAGAGTCACCCCTTCACAGAGGCCCCCAGAGCCCTGTCTGGAGTGGGAGCTGCCGGCATCAGGCCCAGGGGCCACCTGCACATCTGGAGGGGCCATTAGCACCATCTCCCCCAGTGCAGCCCCCGCCACCAGAGGCTGGAGAAGAGGAGGGAGGGAGTGAGGGGTGGGAAGGGCCAAGGGGGCTGCAGCCCTTGGTCAGACCCCCAACGCCAGGTTCTTGGCTAGGAAAGCCACCCGCTATCCCCAGGAGACCAGCTGGGCTCCACTTTAGAAGCCAAACCCACCCTCCTGCAGCAGGAGGAAGGAGAGGCGAGTTTAATCCAGCCTGTCTCTGTTAGTTTTGTCTCTGGAATCCCATCTTTTATCGTTTTAAATGTTTGAGATGTTTTACATTATAAAATTATAATTGTTTAATCTACGATTCTTTAAATGCCCACCTTTCCATAGGTGGAGGTGAGCAGGGGTTACAGGGAAAACAAAGGGAACTAGGCTGGTGAAGTCTCAGTGCCATCCCCGAGACCTTGAGAGACAGGTGTGCTCACAACGAGAGGACGCTCATTACGGATGTGGCCCCGCCAATGCTGCTTATTTTACAATGGAGCATCTGCAAGGCTGTTTGAAAAGCAGTTGGTTGAATATTTTTCTTTTCATTCTGTCATTTTCATGGCTTCCTCTAATCCACTCTCCACGAAGCAGCCTGGGTGATCTTTTTAAAGGTAGGGCAGATCGCAAGACTCCCTGTTTTAGCTCTTCCAAGAGGTCCCATTGCCCTTGTGGTAAAGCAAATATCCCCATGCCCCCCAGGACTTACATGGTGGATCCCACCTGCTTCTCCAACCAGACCTCCTCCCTTGTTGGGGTACCATGAAGGGCCCCTCCATCACTTTCTACCTGTTCCCAAATGCATTGCTGAATCTTCCTCCATGCCCCTGCCCATCCCTTGGCCTCAAGCCCCCATGGAGCAAAGGTGAGTTGGGGAGCATCCAAACTGATGAGCCCCCCAACACATTGCACAGGCATCTGAAATGAAATTGTGCACAGGGAGCTGTGTTCTGTCTCTTCTAGGAATTCACTTCCAACAAAACATCTAGTCCTACTGAAAATGTCCCAGATGGCAAGAAAGAGTGCATCTCCCTAACCAGAGTGTCACTTAGCACCTGGGGTCAATCCATCCCATGCCCAAAAGGACAGTCACTCCCAGGCTGTTCTACCTCCTGTCAGATCATCACTGAAATGCTACAGGGATGTTCAGGCTTCAAGAACTTTTCAGCTAGGATTCAGCTGGCACAAAATCTGAGCGACCACAGAGAACCTGTGTTCACAAAACAAGGCAGCAGAGTGAGAGTCAATGCTGGGTGAGGGCATGTGGATAAAGCAGTGCAGTCGGGGTGGCATCACAGGGAGACCACAGGCCTAACAGTCAGGAGGGCCAGCACAAAGTTCAGCCCTGCCAGATCCCAGTTGTGCTCCTTCGGGTACCTCTCTGAGCCTGAATTCCCTCAACGGTCATCAGGGACTGGAAGCCTCACAGTGGTTGAGGACCCAACCAAAGAGCTATAGAAAAATGTGTGGCTCCGAGCAGACAGAGAGCTCACCAGCTGTCAGGAAAGCAGTCAGACATGCTGTGAAATGCAGACCATGTCCCATCATGGGGTGGGGGTGGTCAACAGCAGCATCTGGGAGGAAACTGGTGCTGAACACTGACGGGGAGGAAGGGTAAGTTTGGGGAAGGGCAGGCATTCGGGGCAGAAGTTTTAACCTCTGGAAGTTTCCTCTTTTTGAAGCAGGAGAATGTATCAAAACATTCTAATAAGAGTCTGAATTTTGCTGGAGAATAATCGAGAGGAAATTGTAAAGTTTAAGAATAGTTATAAATATTCTGGAGAGTGAACTGGCTTAAGGACACACATACATATCAATCAAATACAACTGAAAACCCAGAAATAAATCCTCACATTTATGATCAACTGATTTTCATCAAGGGTGCAGAGATCGTTCAATGGGGGAAAAATAGTCTTTTCAATAAATAATGCTGGGAGAATTGGATATCCACATGCAAATGTTAAAGTTTCACCCCTTTCCTCACACCATATATAAGAACTAACCCAAAATGATCAAAGACCTAAATGAAAGTACTAAAACCAAAACTCTTAAAAACAAACAAACAAACAAACATAGCTGTAAATCTTCCTACCTTTGGATGAGGTGATGGTTTCTTAGATATGACACCAAAAGACAAGATGGATAAATTGGACTTCATAAAAAATAAAAACATTTGTCCATCAAAGAACATCATCAAGAAAATGAAAAGACAACACATAGAATGTGTGTGTGCATGGCGGGGGGGATTACAAATCATATATCTGATAAAGGACTTATGTTGAGAATATAAATAACAATTACAGTTCAATAATAAAAGAAAGCCAAATTAAAAATGTGTAAAGGATTTGAATAAATGTTTCCTCAAAGACAATATACAAATGGCCAATAAACACATGGAAAGTTTAGGCTTAGCATGATTAGCCATCAGGAAAACACAAATCAAACCACATGAGACACCACTTCCTACCCACTAGGATGGCTAGAATTAAAAAGCCAGACACTAACAAGTTTTGACAAAGATGTAGAGAAATTGGAACATTCATGTACTGCTGATGGGAAGTCAAAAGCCTGCAGTCACTGTGGAAAACAGTCTGAATGTTCCTTAATCTATTAAACATAGAGTCACCATATGACCCAGCAATTCTACTCCTGAATACATATCCAAGACAAGTGAAAACATATGTCCACACAAAAACTGGTACATGATGTTTATAACGGCATTATTCATAGTAGCCAAAAAGCAGAAACAAGACATGTTCATTAATGAATGAATGGATAAATAAAATCTATATTTCACTGAAATATTATTTGGCTATACAAAATGATTTTCATCTTACATAAAAAGGAATGAAGTACTGGCACATGCTACAATGCAGACAAACTTTGAATACATTGTGCTAAGTGAAATGAACCAGACACAACGGCCACGTATTGTGATTCCATTTACGTAACAGTCTAGAGTAGGTAACTTCATAGAGACAGAAAGTAGTAGATTGGTGGTTACCCAGTGGGAAAATAGGAAGGGAATGCTAATGAATAGGGGTGCCTTTGGGGTGATGAAAATGTTATAAAATCGATTGTGCAACGGTTGTACAATTCTGAATATACTAAAAACCATTAAAATTGCACACTTTAAATGGGTCAATTGTAAGGTATAAGAATTATATCACAATACAGTCATTATACAAATAATCATAGCTATAGCCACTCATTTGACAATACAAATACATTATGGAGTATGAAAACTGTAGATAGAGGAAGCTATGCATTGGTTAAAAGCAAGGTCAAGGTGAGCAATGCCCATTCATGAGCTGATTAAGAACTGCGTCCAGTAGGTGGTGCTGATGAGCCGCTCATGAGCTCCCTGGCTGCCCTGCACTCAGAAGGCTGAAGCCGGATCCAGCCCAGCTCTGAGGGACTTAGCCAGGAGCCAGGGTCGGCAGATAGTCTGTGGGAGAGACTCCTCTGGCCCTCCAGTAGCCAGAGAGGGAGCTCAGGTGCGAGGAAGGCTTCAATAAAGGCTCTTGGAGACAACAGTGGCTACTTCTTTTTTTTTTTTTTTTTTTTGCAATCGATCCATCTACATTAACATTTGAGCTTTTATTTTTCCTTCAGACAAGTTCCATTAAAAAAAATTTGGTGTTCCTCTCCAGTGAAAAATAAAAAAGGAAAGTTGGAAGAAGGAAATAAGCTGCAGGAAAAAAATATGAAAACAGTGATTATTGTAAGGACAGAATAGTTCAGATTCAGCAGGAGCCTCCTCCTCCTCTGGCCCTGGGAGAGCAACTTAGCCCTGGTCTCAAATAAAAGACTGACCTGATGCCCTGACCTGACGACTGGCCGCGACAGCAGGGATCTGACAAGGGGAAGTGCATGATTTCATCCTCCCTCCCTTTTCCACAGAGCAGGGCAGCCTGCTATCCAGGTTCATGGACATTGACTTTGGGCATGAATCCCCCCTTCACCATCTGAGTGGGATCGGAGACTCCATCCATTTTCCTCCTGTTCCTCCATGCCTCTGTTTGTGTTTTTGTTTGTGTGTGTGTGTGTGTGTTCAGTTGTGCTTGACCTTGAACTAGTTACCTGTATTAGGCTGTTCTT